GCCCCCTGCTGGAGGGGACAGGTCCTGCGCTGTGTGTGTGTCCCTGCGCCCCCTGCTGGAGGGGACAGGCCCTGCGCTGTGTGTGTGTCCCTGCGCCCCCTACTGGATGGGACAAGCCCTGCGCTCTGTGTGTGTCCCTGCGCCCCCTGTTGGAGGGGACAAGGCCTGCACTGTGTGTGTATGTGTGTGTGTGTGTGTGTCCCTGGCACCCCCTGCTGGAGGGGTCGGGCCCTGCGCTGTGTGTGTGTCCCCCTGCGCCCCCTGCTGGAGGGGACAAGCCCTGCGCTCTGTGTTTGTCCCTGCGCCCCCTACTGGAGGGGTCAGGCCCTGCGCTCTGTGTGTGTCTCTGCGCCCCCTGCTGGAGGTGACGGGCCCTGCGCTCTGTGTGTGTGTGTGTCTGTCCCTGCTCCCCCTGCTAGAGGGCATGTGATGAAGTGGGAATTTTTCATCATATTTTGAATATTGTGCATGCCTCGGTTTCCCCGACGTGGCATCTGGCTAACGAGGCGGTGGGAAATGGTTGTTTGCTATGCGCAGAGACCCTGAGATCCTGGTGTGACTGACGCCTACGTGGGCCCAGACAATTGCCCAGCCATGGGGTACCTAGAACTAACCACCACGGACAGTCGACCCCTCTGCAGGAGAACAAAGAGCGAAGGAGTTGGGCCAGGTCACGGGGAAAAACTCTACGTGGACTATCGGAAGCTCAGGGCCACGGAGCTCACAAAAGGCGACTGGCCGGTGCCTTTGGACCCGGAGGCCAGGCAGAAATCTGCCTTCATCACCCCCTTTGGGGCTCTTTGAATTCCTGGCCTTACCTTTTGCCTCAAGGGGGCACCTGCCACCTTCCAGTGCCGAGTTGATCAGTTAGTTACTGAGGAGGGTGGAGGACTTTGCCCGGGCGTACAAACCCTTCCCGGTGCTAACCGACGCCTCAGGCACGGGGCTGATGCTAAGGGGGAGAGACTCCGTCATGTACATGGGCGAGAACTTGCCGCCCCGAGAGCAGAGCTAGGCCTCAGGGAGAAGAGATGCCTGGCTACGGGGTGAGCTTTTAAAAGACTGCAGCCGTATCTAACCGGGCGGCGCGATACCGGGTAGCCTGACCACTCTCTGAAAGGCGCTAACGCAGAGCTGCTGAAATGGAGTCTGATCCTCCAGGATCATGAGATGCAGGCGGGCCACGTGAATGGATGTGCAAACGTCACAGCAGCTGCGTTGTCCTGGGGAGGGGTCCCTGAGCTTCCCCAGGTCACGGGCTGTAGTGCCCCCGCCTCAGTTTGGTCTGGAAGGGTGGAGAGATGTGACGAAGTGGGAACTTTTCCTAAGGTTTTGTGTGAATGCGGTGTGTGCCTCAGTTTCCCCTATGTGGTGCATGTTTAACTAGCTGGCGGAAAAGGTCGTTGACTCTTTGCAGAGCCCCAGAGGTCCAGGTGTGACAATGACCTAGTGTCTGGGCCCAGACATTTGCCCGGACACTGGGTACCTAGAAACGAACAACCGAGGGGAGCGGGGGGAGCCCCGCTCTGCAGAAAGCCAGCCGGCGGGGACCAGCTGGAGAGCAAAGGGCTAAGGAAAAGGGCCAGGTGCCGAGGGTTGCCCGGGAACAAGAACAAAGTACTGAGGTGGGCTCAGGCTTGAGCCGGCTGGACCAGGCTGTAACTTCCTCTTCTCGGTGGTGACGAAGGACTCGCTAGGCTGTGTCCAGACATCGAATAAACCCTCCTGCTTTTACCACCGGCTGAGAGTCACTCCCGAGTCCGGGCATCGGGGGGCATTGCTCCCTTTGGGGGGACAAGTCTTCCCCAGCTGTCCAATCCAGCTAGACTCGCCGCGGGGGGCTCACGGCAGGGGTGCCGATAGCTCGGAAGTTCGATCCCACAGGGCTGGGAAGCCGAGGGGCTCGCCCCAGTGAGGGAATGTGCCCCTAAGGGGCTGCCACGCTGAAGGGGACCTGTTCCAGAGCCGGGCCAGAGCACCAGGCCTGTGGATCCATGACACCTTCCCATCCATCCCTGCTCCCCATCTCTCCACCCACCCATGGCTGCCCACTCATCCCCCCAGCCAACCACCCCATTCTCCCAACAACCTCTGCCCAACCATCCCCCATCCAACCATACCTGTCCACCCATCCTACAACCAACCATCCCAACAACCCATCCAACCACCCATCCATTTCCACCCATCCATCCGACCAACCACACAACCATCCCTGCCCACCCATCCTACAACCAGCCATCCTACAACCCATCCATCCCTGCTCCCCATCCCTCCACCCACCCATGGCTGCCCACTCATCCCACCATCCAACCACCCCATTCTCCCAATAACCTCTGCCCAACCAGCCCCCATCCAACCATACCTGTCCACCCATCCCTCTCTCCCACCCACCCACCCAACCACACAACCATCCCAACAACCCATCCATTTCCACTCATCCATCCGACCAACCACACAACCATCCCTGCCCACCCATCCTACAACCAGCCATCCTACAACCCATCCATCCCTGCTCCCCGTCCCTCCACCCACCCATGGCTGCCCACTCATCCCCCCATCCAACCACCCCATTCTCCCAACAACCTCTGCCCACCATCCCC